AATAAATAATAAATATGTTAAATGTTTTGTGAATGAAAACACACTCTCTGACCTAGAGAGCTTACAGTGCATGAAGTAAACAGTTCTGTTAACACAGAGATTAATAGAATAGATAAAACATATAACATAAGAGGATGAAGTGCAGAAGACAATGTTCTTGACAATCAAGGTCTGGGTTAGATGATCTAAGAAGCCCTTTTCAACATTCAAATCTATGACTATAGAGACAGAAAATGGAAATGAGTGTTTATTTCTCTCCATTATTCAATCAAAAGGTGCTGAAAGGATTTGTTGGTTAACTGTGAGGGCATCAGATTGCATTGCAAGGCAGATTTTGTAAGGAATTGTGCATACAAATGCTAAAAGAGTGTCCACTCATGATCTCAGGACTTGTATGTCCAGGCCATTCCAAATTTCCAGTTGAATGTGCAATTACTGCAAGATTATCCGCCCTTCATTGGTATCGGCTGCTATGAGTTTAGCCAGGAATGGAACTCAAATAATTTTCTGTTTCTATTTTAGGATGTATTAAACCAGCTGGAACTAACACCCAAATTTTCAAATTTAGGATCCTAAACTTAAGTTCCTAAATTTCATATTTAGGCACATAAATAAATGCAATTTTCACAGCTCCTACTGGCTTCACTAACCAGGAATAGCAGAAGTGCTATAAGAGATGACAGTGGAATGGACCTAGAAGTACTTTGTGTTGTTTCTCACCTTGTAACTTTGTTATGGATGTGTTTTGCTGACTGATGGATTCAGCAATCTGCAGGTACCATGACTGAGTGTAATCACCATGCCTGCAGAAAGCATTTTATTTTTCATTACAGATAATGGGATGTTCTGAACTTTGTGCAATTGCAGGATTTTAAAAAGCATGTTTTATTTAGAGGTTATTATGATTCTGCAATTTTCAGAATTAATTATCAGGAGAATTATGATCTAGACAATTATAATTAAGTCAATTTTAGGAATTAATCATCCTGAATTGGACTATCTAAGCAATTAATAATGAATTAAATGAATCATGATTCCATTTGAAAGTTTTTGCTACTTCTCATTTGAAGAACAGATGGACTCTGCTTTGTATCCAGCTGAAATCTCAGGCTGCTGATCAGCTTCAGATTATCAACTAGCCTCTAAATTTAATTTCAGGATTCAAAGGAATTCAAGCATTTGTCTGAAATTCCCTTGCAAACTGTGCTCCCTATGACCATCTATTCATGTATAAATCCTACTAATAGTAGGGGAATGTGCGAGAGCCACATGAACATCCTTTGCATACTGCTAGGCCCAGAAGGTGAGAATCCAAAATAAAGCAACAACAAAATAATAACAGCCACATGTTTGAATTTAACCATATAATCCCCAATGTGGTAATGACTGATTTAACATTTCTTGGCAGTATTTTTCTTCTGCCGTAATCAGATTTACTAATATGAGAGTCACGTACAGGAGACTGAATTGTTCTATAGACTGGAATTCACACTCAAACAGAGGAATACATTCCTAAAACACAGGGGGCTTAATTCTTCCACTCGAGGATACAAACAATTTCTATATACTTCAGTGGGAGCTAGTTGTATCTGGAGGTGAGAGAACTGGCCATAGATTTGCATGGGGGCAGCTGCCCCAGGGGCCCAACACCGTCAAGCTCATAGGAGCACATTTTACTGCATGTGTGTATGTTGTGGGGTGGGAATACAGATCCAAAGCAACAACAATAGGGCTTGTTTGAAAAGCCTGGCAGGCACACTACTGAGGGGCACTTTCCCACCTGCTCTAGACTAATGAGCTACCCTGTTCTATTCTGTTTTTTACACTGATTAGCAGGGCCTGGTCAAAAGCTACTTGGGGCAAAGGTAGCAGCTCTCAAGATCTGTCATGACCTATTTGACTTGAGAACAATGCAAAACTTTGCAGATGCTTTCAATGTAAACTAATAATCACTGCATGAATCTTCATCATCCAGCATCCCCAAACCAGAAGCTACTGCAAACAGTTGGAGGAAAACATTGGCCATATGCTGGCAAAGAATTAATGCTCTACATCTATGAAATGCTGGAGACTGAGTCAGAATTGCAGGTGATGTTTTCTATCAGTGGCATCAACATTTATCAGTAGATAAGAAAAAAAAGGTAAACCAGAATGTGCAAAATGCTGCTAGTCTTACATAGCTAAGGTACACTGAGCAAGGGATTATTAGCATGCAGGCTGCAATTCTTTAAGGGATGCTGATCTATCTGAGGTATCAGGCTTTGTCCATTTGGCACATTTCTAATTGCCTCAGGTACAGTAGTCCACTTAATCTGGTAGTAAGTCACTGAAACTACGCTGGCATTGCATCTGGGAATTGGTTTGCTAGTACTTTCAGCAGAAAACTTGCTGCTGTAGCGCATCTGGTTAAGACGCTATATACTGACAGGAGCTCTCCTGGTGGCATAATAAATCCACCTCCACGAGAGGCAGTAGCTATATCAGCAGGAGATGCTCTCCCACCAACACAGCGCTGTCCACACTGGCACTTAGATTGGTGTAAATTATGTTGCTCAGGGGAGTGACTTATTCACTGTAAGCTATTAGTAGTGTAGACCTGGCCTAAGTTAAAAGAAAGTCTGACAGCAACACCCAGAGGTAAGGAGCTATGTGGCAAAACTGGCTAGGTCTCAATTTGTTGAGATTGTTTGCTGTACCCAGGGGAAAAGGGCAGAGACCATTCTGTAGGAGAATATTAAACACCTGACAGTCCAAATACAGAAAAGACTAATTTTAAAGCAATGCCCCACACATATGCATTAGATCCCTTCATACGGTTTTAAACTCCCCATTCCAGCACACAATATTACTTCGAGCCTTCTTCTTTTCCACATTTTCTTGAGTAAGGCTTTAGTGCATCTCAGCTGTGGAACAACCCACAGAAACCAGTGTTTATTGGCTCTTGAGTGCTGGGAAATTTTTGAGAAGTAGTTGTCTTGGCAAATACTTTAGTCTATTGAATAAACTCAGAGAAAGAACTGAAACTGAAATTCAGGCTTGCAAAATCACTTTCTGAACCACATGAATTTCTGTCTAAAAACCATAAAGAAATGCTGGAATTTTTTTTTTAATTAATGGAGATATCCCATCTCCTAGAACTGGAAGGGACCTCAAAAGGTCATTGAGTCCAGCCCCCTGCCTTCACTAGCAGGACCAAGTACTGATTTTGCCCCAGATCCCCAAGTGGCCCACTCAAGGATTGAACTCACAACCCTGGGTTTAGTAGGCCAATGCTCAAACCACTGAGCTATCCCTCCCCCTAATCTGTTTAGAAATCTGTTTAGAAATCTGTTTAGAGGTTTCCAATGAGCTTGAAAATAGTTCTGTCTGTCCAGTTTAGTTTAACTACCTGTATTGTAATAGATGGAAAAATATAAGCCCCACAAAAAAATCCAAGTTGATTTAACAGCACCCCAATAAATACAGGCCTGTTTCTCAACTGAAAAAAAAATTGTGTTGAATATTTTCCTTGTGCACATTTAACAGATACAAACTATTCCAAGTCCACCCACTGGGAGGGAATACATGAAAGTTTTTTTAGTAATTTTCTGTATCATAAAATGTGCTAATAACATAATGAAAACTACAGTGTAAAAAATGAACAGACCTGTAAGCGTAGAGAATTAATTGTAAGACAGAATATCAAAATCTAATTACTTGCTGGCAAACAGCATAGGTGCACTGTTGTAGATGGAGTCATACGACCTTAAAATGCAAATTAACATAAAAAAACAAAGTAACTCCGAGGGGAATTTTCATCCTGGGTGCAGTGATTTTTTTTAAACAAGTACTGTGTGTTTCTGTTGCTGCATAGATCAAATTTTCCTTCGCAGATTTGCTTTCTTGCTTTAATTCTAACAGCATGCAGGTTGTTCTGTTTTACTGTTGAGCACATCCTCAAAGAAGCTATACAGGAGGCCGCTTGCTTACACATCTTAAAATAGTGGGTAGCTCAAATGAGTTTTGATAGGGAGCTTTTAGCTGTAATTCTAACTTATTTGGGTGATTAAATATAGTAATCTGCATAGAGCTAGTAGCCTTTAACAAGACACAAATGACACCCACACCCATAAGAAGAAAAAGAAGAGAAAAAAAACCAGTCAGCTCTTACTTTAAATTGACCTTCAAGATGACTGTTAAACTTGTTCCAGTCTCTGCTTCTTTTCAGGACTCCAATGCTCTTTCATTAGTGGTTCATTTGAGTATGGAGTCCTTGAAGTAATGCATTCTCCATTCAGATTCACAATGCAGCACCACGCAGGCCCTGAGGTGGCCATCCATCCTGAAATTAAGAGGCAACATTCTCTTCTAGAATTGCACTTTATCAGAATCATTAGGGGTGACAGAAGATAGTGGCAGAGGCAGCAGCAACACAGAGTGAACACAGGCACATTAAAGCAAGATAAAAAGGGTAACCAATCTCAACATAATCTGTACAGAGAGAAGCCAAAATGCTCTCCTCCAACATGACCCGTTTTTCTCTCTCGCTCGCTCTCTCTTTTTTTAACCACACACACAAACAGGAGTTTCATCTGGAGATAAAATGGCAATAGTAGGGAATGGCAAAAAACAAAAAAATCCCAAACCAACAAACTGCTTTATTAAACCAAACAAGAGGATTCTATAAGCACAGAATTAGCTCAAGTAAAAGAAAATGATATTAAAATGAATCTGCCACCCCCCCCCATGCCCATAAATTGGCTCTAAGTGCTGGAGCACTAACAAATGTCATTTATTAGCAGGTATATTATCTATTTTTAAAAGAATTATTTCTTCTATTTTAAAAAGAACATTTATCTAATTCAGCTCAATTTGAGGAGGACTATGAAGCATATTTTTAATATATGCAACACTTGGGCATTTCACCTAAGAATCTTGCCTGTTAAGCAGCACAGCAGAATTTAAATCTCTTATTATCAGGGATTCACCATCCTACAATCCCTTCAGGTATATAGCAATAGCAGTACATTTTATTGTTAGAGATACTGACCCAGAGATGCCTTAGATACCCCAGAGCCCAGGAAAACACAATAAATAGGAAATTGATCACAAATATTTTTAGGTTAATTCTAGAGGGTCAGGAGTAATTAAACTATACTATAGATTTCTGCAAAGTCTTTTTTCGAGTGCATAGTTCTACACAGGAACCCCTGCAAACAGAATTTGTGTGAAAGTGGTGTTCTCGTTCATCCTCCCTGTGGAAGAAAAAAGCCCGGGTAGAGACTGTCGAATTGTGGAAGTCAATGGTGGTGTCGGAGAGAAGGCTTTGGATTCTTTGACCATGGGATAGGCAGAGACAGACTCCACTTAACGAAGAGAGGGAAGAGCATCTTTGCAAGTAGGCTGGCTAACCTAATGAGCAGGACTTTAAACTAGGTTCACTGGGGGAAGGAGATCAAAGCCCTGAGGTAAGTGGGATGCCGGGAGGAAGCACAAGCAGGAGAGCGCAAGAGGGGAGGACTCCTGTCTCATACTGAGAAAGCGGGACGATCAACCAGTTATCTTACGTGCCTATACACAGCAAGAAGCCTGGGAAACAAGCAGGGAGAACTGGAAGTCCTGGCACAGTCAAGGAATTATGATGTGATTGGAATAACAGAGACCTAGTGGGATAAATCACATACTGGAGTACTGTCATGGATGGGTATAAACTGTTCAGGAAGGACAGACAGGACAGAAAAGGTGGGGGCGTTGCATTGTATGTAAGAGAGCAGTATGAGTGCTCAGAGCTCCAGTATGAAACTGCAGAAAAACCTGAGTGTCTTTGGATTAAGTTTAGAAGTGGGAGCAACAAAGGTGATGTCGTGGTGGGAGTCTGCTATAGATCATCAGACCAGGGGGATGAGGTGGACAAGGCTTTCTTCCGGAAACTAACAGAAGTTACTAGATCACAGGCCCTGGTTCTCATGGGGGACTTCAATCACCCCGATATCTGCTGGAAGAGCAATACAGCAGTGCACAGACAATCCAGGAAGTTTTGGGAAAGTGTAGGGGACAATTTCCTGGTGCAAATGCTGGAGGAACCAACTAGGGGCAGAGCTCTTCTTGACCTGCTGCTCACAAACAGGGAAGAATTTAGTAGGGGAAGCAAAAGTGGATGGGAACCTGGGAGGCAGTAACCATGAGATGGTAGAGTTCAGGATCCTGACACAAGGAAGAAAGGAGAGCAGCAAAACACAGACCCTGGACTTCAGAAAAGCAGACTTTGACTCCCTCGGGGAACTGATGGGCAGGATCCCCTGGGATAATAACATGAGGGGGAAAGGAGGCCAGGAGAGCTGGCTGTATTTTAAAGAATCCTTATTGAGGTTGCAGGAACAAACCATCCCGATGTGTAGGAAGAATAGTAAATATGGCTGGCAACCAGCTTGGCTTAACTGTGATCATGGCGATCGGGGGAGGTCCCGGATGACTGGAAAAAGGCTAATGTAGTGCCCATCTTTAAAAAAGGGAAGAAGGAGCATCTGGGGAACTACAGGCCAGTCAGCCTCACCTCAGTCCTTGGAAAAATCATGGAGCAGGTCCTCAAGGAATCAATTATGAAGCACTTAGAGGAGAGGAAAGTGATCAGGAAGAGTCAGCATGGATTCACCAAGAGCAAGTCATGCCTGACTAACCTAATTGCCTTCTATGAGGAGATAACTGGCTCTGTGGATGTGTTATTCCTTGACTTTACAAAGCTTTTGATACGGTCTCCCACAGTATTCTTGCAAGTTGAAGTATGGGCTGGATGAATGAACTTATAAGGTGGATAGAAAGCTGGCTAGATCGTCGGGCGCAACGCGTTGTGATCAATGGCTCCATGTCTAGTTGTCAGCCGGTATCAAGCGTAGTGCCCCAAGGGTCGGTCCTGGGGCCGGTTTTGTTCAGTATCTTCACTAATGATCTGGAGAATGGCATTGACTGCACTCTCAGCAAGTTTGCAGATGATACTAAACTGGGAGGAGTGGTAGATATGCTGTCGGGTAGGGATAGGATACAGAGGGACCTAGACAAATTAGAGGATTGGGCCAAATAAATCTGATGAGGTTCAACAAGGACAAGTTCAGAGTCCTGCACTTAGGACGGAAGAATCCCATGCACTGCTACAGACTAGGGACCGAGTGGCTAAGTAGCAGTTCTGCAGAAAAGGACCTAGGGGTTACAGTGGACGAGAAGCTGGATATGAGTCAACAGTGTGCCCTTGTTGCCAAGAAGGCTAATGGCATTTTGGGCTGTATAAGTAGGGGCATTGCTAGCAGATCAAGGGACACGATCATTCCCCTCTATTCGACATTGGTGAGGCCTCATCTGGAGTACTGTGTTCAGTTTTGGGCCCCACACTACAAGAAGGATGTGGAAAAATTGGAGAGAGTCCAGCAGAGGGTAACAAAAATGATTAGGGGGCTGGAGCACGTGACTTATGAGGAGAGGTTGAGGAACTGGGATTGTTTAGTCTGCAGAAGAGAAGAATGAGGGAGGATTTGATAGCTGCTTTCAACTACCTGAAAGGGGGTTCCAAAGAGGATGGATCTAGACTCTTCTCAATGGTACCACATAATAGAACAAGGAGTAATGGTCTCAAGTTGCAGTGGGGGAGGTTTAGGTTAGATATTAGGAAAAACTTTTTCACTAGGAGGGTGGTGAAGCACTGGAATGGGTTACCTAGGGAGATGGTGGAATCTCCTTCCTTAGAGGTTTTGAATATCAGGCTTGACAAAGTCCTGTCTGGGATGATTTAGTTGGGGATTGGTCCTGCTTTCAGCAGGGGGCTGGGCTAGATGACCTCCTGAGGTCCCTTCCAACCCTCATATTATATGAATTACTTGTTTTAGCCACTCCATGGGCAAATGCAAACATCCCCCAGACTCTCCTTAAAACATCTGGCTTATAAACTGGTTTGATCTGAACCTGTGATCTAGACATAAAAGTACCACCTTCTACTACCAATCTTTTGAGCAACCCTGTCACCCAATTCACATTCCTGAATGCTTTGGTAAGTGTTTTTTGTATATGGCAGCAATTTTTGAAAAAGGGATGAAATGTCCCACTAAAGCCCCCCCTTTTTTGACAGAGAAGGGGTGCACCTAGTTCTTGCTTGGAGTGTGAGGACATAACCACAGAGCCGTACCTTCAGAAGCAACTAGAGAACTCCCTGATATGTAGGTTTGGTACCTCCAACTCTTCCTCTTTCAGGTGCACTCTCCCAACTCCAACCCCCAGGCCCATGAGCCCTTCTCACAGGAACCTCAGTCCTCGAGGAAGCCCACACTACTGTCCCCTCACAGGAACCCCACCTTCCCCTATCCTGATCTCCGCTCGCAAGCCTCAGGTCTGTCTGTCCTTCCCAGCACCACATAACCTATGTACTGCTGGCTGAGCAGCTTACAGTTGCTCGTTTCAATATGGCAGGTTTCTTTTTCCAAGGAGGGGGGAAAAAACCCAAAACCAGCACACTACAACCAGCAGCCCAGCCAGCCAGTCAAAAAACCAGCAAGGCCAATTAAAAACCCTACTGACCAAGAAGTCTCTCTTTATTAATCTCCCCCAGCAACACACCCTGGTCCGCTCTAATAACTTTGGAGGACAAGGAATTTGATAACTAACTACTCCACATGGCCCGCTGCACAGGGGTGAATTTCACTCTTTTCCAGTATCTCGAGTGGGAGGTCAGTGTCAGTATTGAGGGACCGGGGCCGGGGGACCAGAATTGCGACAGGAAGCGCTCCCACGGGGCAGGCGACCAAGATCTGCGCCGAGAGGACAACTGGCAGGAGGGTGAACGGTGCTGGTAGAAGGAAGACCGGCGCCTCCCCCAAGGAGATCCCCGTTGAGATGGCAGGAACCATAATCGCGGTGCCAGTGACCGAGCACGAGCCCCAGAGGATCTGTGCCGAGACGCTGGAGGCCCGCGGGCATGGAGATGGAGAGCGTTGCCTTGTTTGCTCCACTACCCTGAGGGGTCTTAGCAGCAGGCTTGCCCTCATAGGGAGCCTTTGCTGTGTGCTGGCAGTGCGAGCGGAGGCCTCTGCTTTCTCAGCGCTGGGGAGCTTGGGAAAGCATCGATGAAGTCAGGAGTTTGGGTCCCCTACCACTCCCAGGAGTTGGTGGTGGATCCTTTAAGGGGCTAAAGGCCCTGACTGGGGAAGACACGTTCACATGGCTCCGGAGTGGCTGGGCAGCCCGAACCAGGTCCTTTGCCCAATGCCCCATGGCCTTTCTTGTCTAGGGCCGGGGAACCATGCTTCCTTGCTTTCTTTCTGGGCACCGGCGACGGGGAGTGGTGTTGGGTTGAGCCCCGTG